TTTTTTTTTTTTTTTTTTTTTTTTTTTTTTTTTTTTTTTTTTTTTTTTCTTCTCATTTCCTTTTTTCACCTGCTGCTGTAGCTGCTGGGATTCATCACGTAACTTACTGGCAGTAGTGACTTGGTGGCAGTTGAAACCCCAGCATGCAAAACCCTCTCCTTCCACAGGGGCTCCTGAACTCAGAAGATTTGCCTTCAAGGTCACTGAACACCCACTGCAGGCCACAGCTGAGACAGCCAGATTGAGCAGCTGTCTTGGGGGTTACCTCCAGCTGTCCTCTGCTTAAATGAAACACCTGGAGAACTCGATCAGGTTATCGATAAGCCTAAAGAAATTATATGTTATGGTATTTAGGCAGTGAAGACGATGATCTGCTTTCACTCAAGGCATTTTGCTCCTTCCAAGAAAGTCCTGTAATAGTGAAACACTATGTGTCATTCTGGGGAGTGGTTCAGTTAAGCAAAAACTGCAATTTTCTAGTTGGTTCTCAAGGGTTCCAGGAACCTCTCATTTCAGTCAAGATTTGCTCAGAGATGGGGTCAATTCTTCTAAAATATTTAAGAGGAAATGTTCCTAGCTTTAAAGCTGTTTAAGACATGACTTCCCATGCAGTGCAAGTCCCTTTTGATGTCAGAAAGAATTAGGCTCTACCTATCTTTAGGTATCTCTGTTCAGTCACCGAAATGTATTTACAAACCTGGCCTTAGCAGCTTTCATTAGTGTACTGGCACAGAGAACACACTGTCCCACACATCACAAGCCTTTGTTAACAATGTACCCATTATGTTCAATTAGTTACAACACAGAGCATACGCTGGCCATGCCTTGCACTTGGCCCATCCATCCTCCCTGGGGGCAACTACCAGCCCTTCCCAGCCGCCATCCAGGTTTTGCAGCTTGCAAGTACAGGCCCAGGGCAAAATAGAGCCCCTTCGTGCACCACAGCAGAAAGGAGGTGTGTGCCTGCTCCCTGCTCCCCCTCTGCACGGCAGCAGCCGCAGACACAGCCGTGTCCCCTGTGAATTAACACCCATGGGCAAGAGACAGTACGTCTTGTGAGATGTTTGGGGAGACACCCCTGCCGACTGACTCTCCAGTGCTTGTAGGCTGCCTGCCTGCCTGCCTGCCTTCAGCCAGAATGGGCTTAGGATCAGCTGAGGCCTCCCAGATTTCCTTGACATGGCACGCTCTCAGTGTGGTCTTGTGCTCTGTCCTCTCCCTCCTCCTTCCTAGCCCCAGCCCACTCTGCTTCTGTCTTTCACTAAATCCATAGAAATATAATTATCATGGAGATGTCTGCCTCTGGCGATTTTTTTCTTTGGAAATAATTATAATTGGCTGTGGCAGTTAAAAACTTATCGGAGTAGACAGATGACAGACAGCACAATCACATAAGCTTCCCTCTGAGAAAATAAAGCTAAAACCCCTTTATCAGCCTGGTTGGAAACAAAAGGTCTTCCTCTGAAGAGGCAGGCTGTGAAAACACAAAGAGAAGACTGTTATGCTCATGGATTAAATCTGTGGTAGGTAACCAAGCAT